AAATGAAATAAACTTGTCAATGTTTTTAAAATTTTTTATGTCTTAAAGACAGGCTTAAGGAAGACTGATGTAGACAGACAGGAGGCTATCAGCGATAGTCTAGACCAGTAACAATATTCCAAGTACCTGGTCTGCAATGTCACTAGTCTACAAGAAGATTAGGATCTGCATCAGAATGCACTGTTTTTTCATCAAGGAAGTCTTTCTATTTCAAAAAAAAAGTCAAGTAAACTAAAGGTGTGCTTAGTCCTGCAGCTTATTTATATTTTGGTACCAGTCTATTACCTTACTGCAGGCCAGAAACAAACAGTTCACTGGAACCAGCCTAAAGTCCACACTTTGGTTGGGCCTGATATAAATCTGAATGCTTGATAGTAGTGGCAAAGACTGAGAAAAATAGATTTGGAGTAGATTTTGGAGGTAAAACCAACAGAATTGGAGGATGGACTGAATACAGGGTATGAGAACAAGAGAAGAATCAAGCCTGACTTGTAGGTTTTTGGCTTGAGCAACTGAGTAGGTTATGGTGCCATTTCTCAAGAGGGGGAACAATGGGGTTCAAGTTCAATAGGCCTGGCAATAGAGCTGGATAGGGAGATGAAAAATTCTGTGTTGGCATCTCAACAACCAAGTTGGCAACGTGAAGTAGGATATGCAGAGTTTGACCCTGCATATCCTACTTCACTTAACTACTTCTCTTGATATTTAGGTCTTAACTCAAAAATCACTACCTCAAGACTCGGTTTAAAAAAAGACTTTGATTTAAAAAAACCAAAGTTGTAATAAATTTTGAATGCTGCTGAAAGGCTGCAGGAGGAAGTAACCACTGCATGTGCAAGATGGAGTTTGTTAAAAACTCAGGAAGGAAAAAACAAAACGAAGTATTTCAGTACACTGGATAGGAACAAAACAGGACCAGGTAAATTTAGTTGAGATTAAGAAGTGAGAAAGTAGAGAGTAACCACAGACAACTCCTTATGCTCTAAAGGGAAACAGAAAGATGGGTGACTAGAGGGTGGCATAAAGATCAATAACATTTGTTTTCATGTTTATTTTTGTAAAGTTGTGAGCCACTAGAATTCATATACATATATGCAGATGCATATAAATCAATAAGCAGAGCATAACTGCAAGAAACAAGTCCTTGAGTAGGTGGTACACATGAAACTCAGAGCAAAAGCAGAAGGGATGGACTTGGAAGGAAAAAGGATGCCTCTTTTCCACAGGAGCAGAAGGCAGGCAGAGCATACGAGTACAGCTGCAGCGAAGCTGGTGGAATTGAAGATAGCAGTAAGTTCCTGTTTGACAGCATTTACTTTTTCAATGAAATATGAAAAAGAGGTAAGCTGAGAGGATGGACTTGAAGAGGTGCTAAAGATTTGAGGAGAGAAATGGCTGAGGCAAGGAGAAAAACCCATATTTGAGATTTATGGTTATGATTAGAAAGTGAAATCAGACAACTACATATTCATATATATTTTTTCTTTCTCCAACCACATTCATTTCTTAAGTATGGCAATCAAATAGGGAAATAGTTAGAGAGCAGAAAACAAACAGTTTTTCCTCTGTTCTGACACCATCGCAATCCACACAGAAGACTTCTGTGACCAAATAGGGGAGAAGGGGGAGAGTTTCCCCTCACCACTAAGCCAGCAGCCAATTCTGCAGTGGATACCAGTTGGGTGTTCTCCAATTCTAACATTGCCTCAACTTGTGGCATCTGACGCTGTCTCCAGGTACATAATGTCAGCCTCTCTCCCCTCCCTAGAAGTTGAGCTGAGAGACCCAACCCTCTAATTATTAATGCCTTGGTCAACCCAGTGACCAGCCCCAATCCTGAAGCTACCTAGGGGTTGCCCGGCACCAGTCAACTCATTAGCATACAAAAGGACATCACTTTGGAGATTCTAAAAAATTTTAGGAGTTGTATACCAGGAAACTAGTCAAAGATCAAATATGTATTTTGCAATATCATGGTTGGGTTTAATACATACTATAGTATTGCCAAATGAGTACACTGACAGGAGAGGCAGTCACTGGCTAACAGAGTTTGTCAAAAGGGAAGACAATGGTGGGCAATGAAATCTAAGCTGAACAATAGGAGATAAAGAAATGAAGGGATAATGCATTCAAAAAATGGTAGAAGCTACTGATGGGAGGTCTAAGTGAAATTCAATCATTTACAGAATAACAGAGAGATGGAAGGATAAGATATGAGGGTCATATTTTAAAATACTTAAAAATCAAGAGTTTGGATATATCACTGCTATTAAGAAGAGACAAGGTGAATGGTTTGAACATAGCTGTAAGAAGATAAAGATAGAAAAAAAATCAGGTATATATAAATAAAATAAATAATGAAGAATTGGTTATTTGAAAAGATCGATAAAATTGAGAAAGAAAAAGAGAAAGCACAAACTACCACTACCAGGAATGAAACAGGAGATATCACTACAGATCCTGCAGACATCAAATGTCTAATAAAAAAAACTACAAACAACGCTATACAAAAATTTGACAACTTATATGAAATTGACCAATTCCTTGAAAGACATAAACCACTAAAACTCACACAAAGAGAAATAAATAACCTGATTATTTCTGTATCTATTTTAAAACTGAATCAATAAGAGCAATAAAAAAGAAAGCACCTGGCCCAAATCATTTCACTAATGAATTCCACCAAACATTTAAGGAAGAAATACAGTCTTCCCCTCACATCTGTGGCTTCTGCATCTATCAATTCAACTAACTGAGGATTAAAAATATTTTGGGGGGGGGACAGGAATAATAAAAAGATAATACAATAAAAAATACAATATAACAAAACTATTTACATAGCACTTATACTATATTAGGTAATATAAGTAATCTAGAGATGGTTTAAAGTTTATGGGAGGATTATGTATGAGTTATATGAAAATATTATGCCATTTTATATTAATATAAGGGCCTTGGGCATCCACATCTGCAGAGGGTCCTGGAACAAATCCCCTGAGGATACTGAGAGTCACCTGGAATACTAACACTTCACAGTCTCTTCCAGAAAATAAAAGCAAAGGGAACACCTCCTAACTTGTTCTATAAGGCCAGTGTTACCCTAATAACAAAATTAGATAAAGATATTACAAATAAACTAATTGATACAGTATTGACTGTATCAATGTTAATATACTGGTGGTGATATTATGCTACAGCTTTTTAAGATGTTACCACTAGGGGAAACTGGGCAAAGGGTACAGGGGACCATTTATTATTCTTTCTTTCTTACAATTGCATATGAATCTTTAATTATGTCAAAGTAAATGTTTAATAAAAATTTCAAAGAATAGAGGTAGTAACCATTTTCATAGCAAAGCATTAATGAATTCTAATGTCACATGTGCTATTTTAAGAAAGCAAATTATTTACACTAATTTATAATAAATTTTAAAATAACTATTTAAAATAGCAGCAATTTGGTTACAGTTGAAATTCTAATGGAAATTACACTAAAAATGCTATAGAATTGCTACAGTTCATGAGAGAAAATGACAGCTGCTCTCAGAGCACACGCTAACATGTTATGCTTCACAAACACCGTCATTTTTGATGAGTTGAAAGATAATGCTGGTTTTAATGACATAAGCCTGATGGCTTTAATTACACAAAAAGGTTGATGGGAAGGACTTGAAGTCCTAGAATGCTGGAGTTAACTAAACAGAAAGTTAGACAGTTGCTATTCCCTCCCACTCCATACACAACATACCTTGTTTTACTATGATTTGCAGATACCATGGTTTTTACAAATTTGAAAGTTTGTGGCAATGCTGCATCCAGCAAGTCTATCAGTACCATTTTTCTAATAGCATGTGCTCACTTTATTAGCATGTTTAGCAATAAAATATTTTTAATTAAGGTATGTACCTTTTTTAGACATAATTAAGACACACTTAATAGACTACAATATAACGTAAATATAACTTCCATATGCACTAGAAAACCAAAAACTGTGTGTGACTCACTTTGATATTTACTTCACTGCAGTAGTCTGGTTTTGAACTCCTGACCTTGAGCAATCCGCACGCCTGGGCCTCCCAGAATGCTAGGATTACAGGCGTGAGCCACTGCAGTAGTCTGAATCAAATCTGCATTATCTCTGAGGTATGCCTGTACATATGAAGCCTGTAGCTCATTTCTTATTTAAGGTCTATTTATATGATTTGATTTGCCCCTTACCTATGGATAGCTCAAACATTTTAAATATTACATCATTCCTTATAAATTCTAAATAGTTGAGGTTTTTTTAAAGTATCAAAAGAATTTTAATCAAGCCCACTGACTAAAGAGCAAATATTTAAGAATAACATTTACAATACTATCCTCTTATCTGCAGTTTTTTTTTTTGCTTTTCGTGATTTCAGTTACTGGCAGATTCAGTTACCCATAGTCAACTGAAGTCTGAAAATAGGTGAGTACAGAACAATAAAGACATTGTGAGAAAGAGCACAAGATACCACATTCATATAACTTTCATTATTTAATAGTATATCATTATAATTGATCTATTTTATTGTTAGTTATCACTGTTGATCTTTTACTGTGCCTAATTTATAAATTAAATTTTATCATAGGCATATATGTATAGGAGAAAACAGTCTATATAGAGTTCAAAACTATCCATGGTTTCAGGCATCCACTGGGGGTCTTGAAATGTATCCCTGCAGATAAGGGAAGCATAGTGTACAAAGTTGAATAAATTTATTAACAAATTAATTCATTTTGTTTTAATAATAGGATGATGAATCTTATAGGTAACAGTAGGTAAATTTTCCTTTTTTTGAAAGGAAGAATCTTTAATTAAAAAAAGTAAAGAAACATTGTATTAACAGACTGGATTTCAGCCCTTAATTCATGTTTATGAGCCAGTCTGATTTTATTTTTATTTTGGCCCGGACCATGTCTATCCAAATGAATAAATAGGTAAAAAAATCTGATTCTGCATATATAAGAGCACTCACTGATCCTGGAGCCAAACTGCTTGAGTTCAAATCCCAATAATTCCGCTTGATGGCTTTGTGAACTTGTAAAAGTAACTTCTCCATCTGTAAAAATGAGTATAATAATAATATCTACCTCATACCTTTATTGTGAGGATTCAATGCCCTTCAAACAGTGCCCAAGTCATAGAAGGATTCACGGGGTATCAGTTATTATTGTTACTGTATTTTATATAAAGCTATCTAACTTCTTAAAAGAAAGTTTAGCTTCCTGCAAGTAAGCTAAATAACAATTCAATATAAACTATTAAATAGCTGCTAAAAAGAAGAAATCTACTAGCTTCATGTAAGCCTTTCTATTCATTCAAGGTGCAAATAATACTTTAAAAGTTGAATCAATGTGTACTATGTCAAATATCTTTTTAAAAAAGGTACTAGAGGTTTTATATTCTTTTCCTAAATTGTTGTCATATTTTTAAAATTTCAAAAAAGTATTTCAACCACTTTTAATAATAAACCTTAAATTTTTCTATTCATGTCCAAAATTATAAACAAATTGAACTATTAATAAAATTCTTAAAAATTACTCAATAAATTAACATTTTCAACATATCTTTAAAATGAGCTTTTACATTGTTTTATTTCAACAAGTTTTAACTTCCTTTGGTATAATACTAAAGGTAATTTTTTTAAAAGCAGAAATTCATCTTAATGTAACAATTTTCCCTACTAAAATTCATGTGGATAAATATACAACTTTTCTTGAAAAGTAATATAAGGTTTATTGCTGCTTATGGTTTATTTTCTAGGATGCATGCTGTGCAATTAGACTTGCTAACAACCAATATAAATAACTTCTTAAATTCAGATTAATGGCATAAGAAATTAATCATGTGGGAGGAAAGTAAAAATGTACTACATGTGGCATACAATGTGCCAGACTGTAGTATAGCTAATGTGCAAAACAGCACATTCACAGAACAATGGCCAAAGAAAAGAGTAAAAATTAGGCCCTGATTTGACATCTGGAAGTCTGATGTGACAGCTGCAGGCAGTTTTATCTTTCCAGAATATGAATGTTCTCAATCAAAGGAGCCATCTAAGAAATCTGTTGATAAAACTCAGTAAACTTCATCCATCATACCAATTAAAACATTTTAAGTGCACTTATGTTTTAAGAGATGTATAAGCAATCCAGAACAATTTTTAGGAAATAGAAAATGTATTAAGACTATTACAAATAGCATGAGATATCATATCATTAATGGTTAATGAGTATTTGCAGAAGCTGGAAACTATGCTGCCTTTAGTTAACCAGTGATCAGACCTTAAATCTATTTGTTTATGTAATCATTTTATGTAATCTTCTAAGTCCTAGGGATAAAGAAGCGAACAAGACAGACAAAAGTCCAAACCTTTGTGAAGCTTTCCTTCTACTGGGGCAAAGAGCAAAAATTGCAATTTCAGATACCAATAAATCTATGAAGAAAATAAAGTAAGCTAATAGGACTGGGGACAAGAAGGCATCTCTAAGGAGTAGACAGCTGAGCAGAGATTTGACTGATGAAGTTCTGGGGAGTATTCCAGTTTTAGTAAATAGCATGTATCAGCATACACAGAAACTGTGTGAGGGACAGCAAGCATTCCCAGCTGTAGATGAAGCAAACAGATCAAGGGAGAACACAGCAGAAGATCAGATCAGAGATATGCAAGGCAGGAGCCAGATCATATGACAGGCCACGGTTAAAGAATTTAGATTTTATTCAGGGGTAATGAATGGGAATATATTAAAGAATTTTCTGATCACAAAGCTGCTTTAGAAAGACCACTCCAACCATATATAGTAAGGAAAGTGGGGTTAATGTAGAGGCAGAGAGACCCATTATGAAGTTACTGCTGAAATGACAGGGAGGACGAAGACATGGACCAGCTAAAGCAGTGAAGGTGGTGAGAAATGGTCAGAGTGGGGATCTGGAAGGGCAGTAAACCTGAATTGCTGCTATACTGGATACCAGGTGCGAGGAAAAGATAGGAATCCTAGATTTTAGCCTGAGCAAAACCTAGAAGTCAAACCTAGGTAGGCAGGGTCTAGATCATTCAAGTTCTCACTGATCATGCTAAAGGTTTTAGTCTTAATCTGAAAAGCAGTAGGAAGCAGTGGAGTAGGAAAAAAGGGGTAGGATTCCAGACATACTTTGCTGACTTACCAGGCCAGTCTCAGCAAGAATACACCAGACTCCTCCTTATTGCCTGGTGGCCTGAGCCACAGCTGGTTCCTTCCGGAGAGACTGGGAGAGGCTGCCCATCAATCATACTAATCTATGATTTCCTCAGAAGTGCAGTGAATCCAGGTTAAAGCTTATTTATTCTTGAGACACCTTAGTGCAAATATATTCTTCTTTCCCATTCCCTTACCCCTAATCTATCGGGATGCCACTAGGACCAATTATCTTAGCAACCTTGTGACCATCTAAACTCACCCACTTTACACTTCCATCATCCTTGTTCCTGCCAATGATAAATTCTCCTTTGGTCATCTGCCTTTAACAACCTCTCAGTCTCAACCTGATCTTACCTCTTTTCCTGACAATTTCTCACTGCTTCTCTCTAACCTTTCCACTATGCCCCAGAGAATCTCCTTTACATGATTAATAAACACCCTACGTCCTAGCCCTCTTCAATGAACGTTCCCTTTGTCAACCACCTTTAACTTTTAAACATTGCAGTCCAACAAGAATACCACATGCAGTACAGCCTTTTCAAAGAGAAGATCCTCATTTTCAAACCCTCATATTCTTCAAAGTCAAGAGTAGAGACATCCACCATGCTTATGGATGCTAAGACTGTATCTGGTAAAAAGCACAATTCCAACAGAATTGATGAAATGACTCTAAATTCACAAAGAATAAAGGCTGAAAACAACCTACCTAAACCTACTCAAAAAACTAAAATATACCCATGGAAGGATATTATGAAGTCATTACATACTGATGCTGCAGAAGAATACTTAATGCCTTCTGGGAACATTCATGCAGCTAAATTAAAAATATATATGTTATTAATATTAATCAGCATGCAATATATGAGGCTGATTTAATTAAAGAAAGTGTGGATGTGTGTACTCATAGGAAAAAGGTTATATTAATATTAATAAATAAAATGTTATCTCTTGGGCAGTAGAATTATGAATAATTTTTTTCTTTTTGTGCTTTTCCTATTTCCCTCAATTTCCAAATGAATATATATAATATTTTTTTAAAGGCCAAAATGTTACTTTAAAAAATTTATGATCACAACACATCAAAATTCTTCTTCAAAAATTTACATAGGCTGCTTTGGACTTTTCATATCTTTGTTTTTTTAAAATAAAAAACAAGTGAACAAACAAAACCCCCAAATACCTCCAAGTCCTTCAGTTAACTGCCCAGAATTTAAATCATTAATAAAAAACACAAAACCCCCTCCATATTTCTTCTAAGCATATCATTCATTTAGATAGCAATTCAGCAAAGAGTCTGATAAGTCTAAGCATTTTCTTTAAAGAACTTATGTGTAGTATCCAAAGCAAATAGCTACATATGCTGGGGTCTCTTAACTATAAAACTAAGTAATGCTTTGTACAGCTTTATCAAACCCATGCATTCTTTCTGTATAAGAGGGTGTTAGTCACATATTTTTAAATGTCCTATAAAATGATTGTCATTTTCTTAATTTCATTTAAGGAAGATACATAAATACTCAAATATAATTTTGGCTAATGCACAAAAGTATTAATAGCAACATAAAAGATGGGATATTGGGAAAGAGATTTTCAGCAAGTAAATTCCCAAAGAGAAAATATTTAAAAACAAAAACTTCACTTTCAAGATAAGTAATGGTACTACAACTGCATCTGGCATAAAAATAAGGAATGACACATCACTCAAAATAATCTCTAATAGCTCTAAGATGTTCCTTTCAAAAAATACCCTTTTTAAAAATCAATGTTTAATATTTTAACATTAACTTTAGAAATAATATGTGTACGTAATTCCATTGGAAAGAATTGCTTAGTAGACAACCTATATGGGCTGGACAACATTCTGGAATACATTTCACTTAAGTATTATTTCACTGCATTATATAATATGAATGTGTAAGTAGAACTAGCTTATATTCAACAAAATTAACCACTGTTTCTAGACTTTTTCTTTTAAATCCTATCTGAAAAGTTGTATGCCATTTCCAAAAAAGTAGATATTCTTGAAAAGGACAATTAATGAAATCAGTATTATGACTAAGAAGAATTTAGTATCTTCCTATCTAAGCAAAGTACGATGCTAGATGGCTTTCAAATCAACTTTAACGGATATGGTATCTGTCCCCCAGGAATCTTCAGTCTCCATAAGTGATTATGCCAAAGCCCTTTCCCAAACTAACAACTTCTAATATAATCTCCCCTGAAATTCATTACAAATTAGGAGATAGCTTCTTGTTAATAACTTATATTGAAACTTTGCCTTTTAGAAAAGTAAAAGTGGATCTAAAAGCAGTGTTACATTAAATGAATCTAACAAATGGACAAGGCACGTGTTGAGAGTTGGAGAGAAAGGTCAGAGGGAGGACATTTAGATATAGACAGTCTTGCTCAGCATTTATAATATACCTCTGTTACTATGCACCGTATTTCAGAGACCGCTCTAAATCTGCTGTGGTTGCCCTGGGCTTTGTTAAGAGACTGAAAGGCTGCAGAATCTAAGCAGGCCTCAGGCTATGTATTTTAATTTCATTATTTAAAATTTTATATTTAAATTTCTTAGCTACACTGATTTAAATAGTTTCATTCCTCTGGAGTTTGTTATCTTGATTCAGCAACTGAATACACATTAATTGAGAAAAATCATATCACTCTGATTTATCAGTATTAATTTTAGCACAGTGGGAAGTTGTCTTTCTTTGCAGAGTAATTAAGCATAATTCCATATATTTTCAAAGCTTTCTGTACATAAACGTTTTCCATTCATTTCAGTATCTTTGCTAAAAATGCACAGCAGAGACTCTCAACTTAAACAAGAACAAAAGACTTATTTTTTTCAAACAGGCAAATTTAAAAGGTAGTTAAAAGTCATTTACTTTCACACAACCTAAAACAATACTGTTAGCACTGCAGTGACAGAGGCTCCAAATTACAAAGGTCAGTTAAGTAAAAGAGGGCAAAGGCAGCAGGACTCAGATGCTAAGAATAAAAACAAAAAGAGATCCAATGCAGCATTCTGAGAATGAAGATCAATGAAAACAGTTGCTCAAGATCATATAACTTAGAGCGTTATTTTCTACACTGTTACGAGAGACTTTAGCATTTCCTCTTTGCTGCTTCTTGGCATTTGCTTTAGTAAAACTAACATTGAAGCCACAAATGCACATTATCTGAAGTAAAAAGATAATATGTGCCTCATCAAAAATAACTTAGCTATCACGGTAAAAGTGGAAACATACGATAAAAGTATAAATTGGGTAGCAAGGGGGAAGCAGCAGCATATTTTATTTAACTATCGATCCAATCAAGAAGGCAGCAGGTTGTCTTTCCAATCAAAACTACTTTTATAGCAATACAAATGCCCTTGCTTGCTCAACAGTAAAGGTCTTCAAAAGAAACAATTGAGAGGATGAGGCACAGAAAAATTATGCTATAAACCATAAAATGACTAAAATAGGAGTGAATGATATGTTATGATTTAATGCTATAACTGTAAGTAGGATAAGCAATCTTACTGCTTATGCTAGCATAGCAATCAATGAGACAGATAGCAAACCAATAACAAAGTAGTAGATAATGGCATATGGATTTGTTTAGCTTTATCAGTGGCAAGAAAAACTCAGCGTCTGAAAATTTTATAAAATCAAGCCAGCAGTGACGCAGATACAATAATTTGGTAGCTCTCTGTTTTCTTACCTGTAAGGACAGCTTTTGCTGAAGGATCTGCCAGGTCCAGGGCTGATTTCCCATCAGTGTTCCGAATGTTTGGATCAGCTCCGTGCTGCAGCAGCACTGTGCAGGGAAAGCAGAAACAGTATCTTACCTCGGGGATACAGAGATTATTTACTGGTAAGTGTCGTCTCGGCATGGTGTAGGCATAAACATACATTGCACAATTTCTTTCTCTTTCAAGAAAAAATAAAGAAAGAAGGAAAGAAATAGAAAGAAAGAAAAAAGCACTGCAGCAAAGGCTCCTCTCTAGAGTAAAGCGAAGTTGGCAACTTATGGTACAGTACAGTCACATGACCTAACATCATAAACATGAAACTAGAAAAAATCTTGCAATATACAGAGTCAGTTTTGGTTTGCCTCCTTCAGGCAGCAGGATGGGAAGCTACGTGCTCACTGGCTCACACTGTGAAATACGCTAACTGTGAACCTGCCCTATCTTTACTACCAGCGTGGGTGCTTGTTGCTGCTGGTGCTGCTGCTTTACTGCTGAATTTCCAAATGCTTCCTCCCCTTAGAATAGTTGTAATACTGTGCAAGCCTTTTAGTGGCTCACCACCTACATATGAAACTCACCATAACATACTGGCTTGCTTCCAAGAAGTTTAACAGACACAGTAATGCATGCAACTCTGGGCGCCTGCAGTGAAGCAGCAAAAAAGAACTACCTTCCCCAATAATTCTTTCCATCAAAAATTTTTAGAAACAGAAACTCAGTCATTATTATATATGCTAAGGAATGAATGTAACACATGCTATGTTTGGTAAAAAAAAAAAAAAAAAATAGCCACAGAGAATTCTTAAATAGGGAGGCTCCTATAAAAGAGAATCACTGTTTAAATAAAATCCAAATACAATATCAATCCAAAACATTTCTCAGATACATCTGGTGTGTAGTGGTGAGGAAAGTGAAGGGAAGAGATCGTGTGATGATTAAATTAATAAATATATTAAAAATTTGTTGAAATAAGTATAATTCAAGTACAGGTTATGAGCCACTGCCATTAATGACCCCAAATTTTCATTATTAACAGTTCCAGGCTGAATGAAGCATATAATTCTTCAGGAATATTTGGGAGGCAATTCTCATATATTACAATGTAGTAAGTCCTGCTGTTTACACAGCTCTTTCTCTTCCTTTAATGCATAAACCATCAAATCAGTGGTTTCATTAAAATGAAGAAACAATAGCCTTACACAGAATTAGATAACTGCTGGGAGGGTGAGTAATTGCATCTCTTGGGTAGTTTCGGCCTTGGAATAATAAAAACTAGCCATGGTTTGAGAAGATGCAGTGAGATCTTACAAAGACTTTCTACATTATTTCATACTTGAATGTAGTAAACAAGGAATATAATTATTTTCCAGATGTTTATAAACTGACTCAAAGGTAAGTAGCATGAAATAGCATGTACCACAATATGAAACTGCAGTTACTCTTTCATCATAATGAATGGAAGTTTTTTTTTGCAGCAACATTTTTTTTATTCCAGGAAGAAATTCCAATGTGAAGATTTGGCTTGCAAAGAGTCTTTATCATAAAGCAAACTCACATATCAAATGGAAGCAGTAACTATCTCTACCTCTATTTAGTTGCTGGGTGATCACATGCAAAGGAGAGGAAAACAAAAGAAATAAAAGCTACCATGAAAAACAGAGGGGTTTTTTTACTGCATACTTCAGGAACTTCAGAATCTGGTTTAAACGAGAAGTAAAGGAATATTTTATTTAACTAAGTTTGACAATTATATGATGGGAGCTTTCATTTTTATAGCTTTTAATGAATGATAGAGGCAATACACTGAACACCTGATGTTCCTTTAAAAGTCCCCTAAAACCTCAATCCTTCTTGTAACTGGTATTTTACCTATTATATTGTTCTATTATATTTTACAACAGAAATCTGCCATTACGATTTGGTTGCAGTTTTGTTTTAGCTGACATTAAAAAGTGTAAACTTTTTACTTGAAATATATGTTTTCTATGCATTTTTGGGTCATGCGTATCTTTCATTGGACCTAGACTTACACATTTACTACAAAGTAATACAGCAACAGCAAAGCAGCAGCTGAATTTCTGAACCAGATGCTGATAACAAAATCCATGTTTAAAAACATTTAACCATTTGTGATTCACAAGACATTGATTAAAAAAAAAACAAAACTTAGTAAATTTAAGATTTTTAGAAGGGTATCTGCAATTAGACCAGCAGGGGCCTAAACTTATCTAACTTTCATAAAAGGTTACAAGATTGCTAGGAAGATTAAATAAGGACGTAAGTGGTAGACAAAGGTGCTGAGCAAGGAGCCTGGGTCTATCAGCTAGTGATAACATTTAAAGGACATTTTAAAATGCAGACCCTGTTTATAGTCTCAGCTCTACCAGTAACTGCTAATTCCGAGCTTTATTCTAGGGCAAGGGTCAGCAAACTTTCCGTAAAGGCCAGATCATAAATATTTTAGGCTTTGTGGAACATATGGCCTCTGTCTCAACTATGGTTGACCCTTGAACAACACAGGTTTGAACTGCATGGGTCCAGTTGTACATGGATTTTTCTCAATAAATGTTACACCAAGTGTACCTGTCTCTGCCATCTCTGAGACAGCAAGACCAACTCCTCCTTCTCCTCCTCCTCCTCCTCCTCAGCCTACTCAAGATGACATGGATGAAGACCTTTATGATGAGTCACTTCCATCTACTGAATAGTACATGTATTTTTCTTCCTTATGATTTTCTTAACCATCTTTTCTTTTCTCTAGCTTACCTTATTATAAGAACACAGTATATAACACATATAACATGCAAAATATGTGTTAATGAATTACTTATATTATTGGTAAAGCTTCCAGTCAACAATAGGCTATTAATAGTTATTTTGTTTGTTTGTTTGTTTTTTGAGACAGAGTCTGGCTCTGTTGCCCAGGCCAGAGTGAGTGCCGTGGCATCAGCCCAGCTCATAGCAACCTCAAACTCCTGGGCTCAAGCAATCCTCCTGCCTCAGCCTCCCAAGTAGCTGGGACTACAGGCATGTGCCACCATGCCCGGCTAATTTTTTCTATATATATATATTAGTTGGTCAATTCATTTCTTTCTATTTATAGTAGAGATGGGGTCTCGCTCTTGCTCAGGCTGGTTTTGAACTCCTGACCTCGAGCAATCCACCTGCCTCGGCCTCCCAGAGTGCTAGGATTACAGGCATGAGCCACTGCGCTCGGCCTAGTAGTTACGTTTTGGGAGAGTCAAAAATTTGATGTCGATTTTGACCTACACAGAGTAGACTCCCAACCCCCACATGGTTCAAGGGTCAGCAATGGTATTCATCCCTGCCTGGATCCTACTGCTATAATGCAAATACACCCACAGATAGTTCTTAATGAATGAACACAGCTGTGTTCCAATGAAATTTCACTTAAAGATGTTGAAATTTGAATTTTACATAATTTTCATATGTCACAAAGTATTGTTGTAGGATTTTTTAATAAAACATTAAAAAATACAAAAATAATTCTTAGCTAACAGGCCATACAAAAACAGGAATAGGCAAGATTTGGCCTATGGGCTACAATTTGCTGAACCCTGACCTTGGGCAGTGCTATACATGTATGGTCTATATGATACAAAGAAAGTTATACAAACTTCTGGTTCTATAACTGTTTGTAATTCATCTATATTGAGATAGGTACAGAAATTGAGGGCAGATATTTAAAACTATCTCTGTCATTTTAAAATTACCTTTCCCAGTACTTCATTTTACTTATCTTTTACAAAATTATTGGTCTGTCATGCATTGAGGAAAAAATAACCCTGGTCCTCTATCATAGAAAATTTGAGAAGCAGTGATAGGATAAACAAAACATTTTCTGGGCCTCAGTTTCCAGGGCTATAAAGTAAAGGAGCTGAACTAGACAGGTGATCTCTAAATAGATAGCTAGGATGAGGCCTCAAATCTCTGATAATGCTTTAGTTAATGCCAAAGACCTGAAGCATTAAGATCTAAAATAATAAAAGAGAGTTGGTTCAAATAGAAACTTTTCTTCCCCTACCTTTCAAATCAAAATGGAAAATATAAAAGATTTTCATTTATCTTAACACTTTCACAAAAGAAAACAAAACTAAAAGTTGAGACCCCAGTCATTGAAAGCTGTCAGGTACATACTAAAATGTCCCAAACTACTTCCTCTAGCAATTTCTCAAATTGAACTTCATTCTAAAAGTGTCTTCCAATCCTGGTGCTTCGCACTGTTGTTCTCTATAGGGATTTGTGCAGAACAATTTCCCAATGCCAGAGAATGGCATATACAGGTGGCAAAGGTAACAACAGCTTTTAAGAATGCCAGACTGTACTTAAAGTGGTGGCACCTAAGACTCTCAATTCTGGATGCTTCAAAATTTCACAACTCAAAAATCTTCAAAGTCCTGAGCCATCAAAGAGAATAATAAAATGTGACAATTAATGCATAATACAATTGGAAATGCATCTTGTAAAATCAATATGCACTGATAACACACTAATATAAAACAGATTCTTCTTAAAAAGTACCACAAATGTCTAAAGCAAAGGTCCCAAAATACACAAATGATATACAAAGTTTGAAAGAAAAACAAGAAAACTAAAATCTGAATAGCATAAGTACATAAATTCAAGAGTACTATGGCCATTGAAAATTTCCCTATACTATCTTTCACCACTGGGACATTATTAAATCTCAAATCCCAAAGACTTGGCTGTTTCTAGTTGTTATACTGATGCATCTCGACTCTATCTCCTTTTGAGGTAGGAAGGATAACAGCTGACATAACAACAGATAATTAAAACTAAGGTAGAATCACAAAATTAAAAAATGTCATTTTTTAATGAGCTATGGCAAGGACTCATGATTTTCCCATTTCTGGTACACGCATTCAGGTACAGGGAGCTGGATACAGAAGGTATGACTTTAGCCATGTTATTTCATTTCACTCTTGAAAACTATTAAATTTAAGCATTTGTATCATTTTAATTCTTACAAACAAAAAGAAGGTATTTCTACATCTATACAAAGCCTCATCCTGTCAAATTCCTA